CCCAGACAGATACCTTTACATTGTAGCAGCCTACCTCGGTGGTTACACGTGGAGAGAGGGAGACCTGACCCTGACTGGAGCTAGCCGACGACTGACGACCAAGCGCCCCGGGAGCGCCGGCCCGGTCCAGGTAGCCTCGTCGCCGCCCTGGACCTTTCCGCCCGCACCCGGTCACTATCGCTCTGCCTTCGAGATAGTCTCCAACGAGGGGTCCCTACTTAACTGCCTATGGGTCTGTCCAGTGATAAGCTGCGAGGCGCATAAGGCGCGAATATTTAAACGGTGGGAGCCCGTGCGTCGTCCCACGACAAGAGGGAGGGGGGGGGGTCAACGCACGGCGCCGCAAAGCGCAAAGCTGAGGAAGCTTCCGTCAGCCTCCTCCGCGACGGCTGGAATTGCTACCTTTGAGGAGCTTACAGCAGCGGGGCCGGGCGGCCGGGCCTTTTGCATATTACTGAGAGGTGATGCGGGCCCGACGGGGCGGGACGGGACGCTCCCGGGCACATACGGCACCGGGCGGCCGGCCGCCAGCCAAAGCATCACCGCCAAAAGGAAACCGCTGGCGGTAATTGTATAATAAAAGAATTCCGATAGAAAGGCGCCGTTTCGTTCGAGAGGGAGAGATCATCATCGGCCGACCCTTCGCGTCGTATCGTGGCGACTTAATCTTTTTACGACTGGCGGCCGCGTGCCCGAGCCCCGCACATCCCATCCCCGCCCCGCATACTCCGGAAATCCAACTGTAGGACTGTCCCAGTGTTGCAGCCGTAGGACATTCACACATCCAAATACGGTAAAAGAGGGATTCACGGCAAGAGGCGGATTTTTCCATCGGTGCGAACAGTAGGACAAGTTATTTTAGAGTTGTGAGAAACTTTTGCTGTAGGGGTACTGTCCTAGTGCTGCATTTTCAGATTACACCAACCCAAAGCTAGTTCTAGAATCATCGGAAAACAGGGGATACGATACATATTCAAGAAGAATTACTCTTTCAAGGAGTTTGTAATTTATTCAAAAAACAACAACAACAAAAAACACACAACTTGTTCTCGACTCAAGTGCAATATGCTCTCGATCCATTCCGCGTTCCTGATTCAAGAACTGCATCTGCTGAGCGTCGTTACGATAACGGGCCCCGATAATAACCAAAGTGCGTTTGGGAGGGCTGCACTGCGATACCGGCACGCGATATCCTAACGGGTCCTATATGTATGTGCAGCCAGAGGCCCTCGGCCAGGCCGGATGGGGCCGTCGTGACGTCACCGCCAAGGTCGCGCTGGTGGTGGACGCGACGGGGTGGACCTCCCTCTCGTCCCGCGGACGGCATCGCGTGCGGCGGGCCCTGCCCCCCCC